CACACCCACACATTCTGAAGTTAGCCGTTCCCCGAATGTGAAGAAAGCAGTTGAGCAAAGTAACCCTTGTTCAGATGTATATGAATGCTGACTGGCATGGTTTATATCAGTTTCTGTTTAGTTTTTTCTTTTCTTTGGATGCTTGCTGAATTTGGCTTCACAGACTGCATTCATGTTTTGCTTGCGTGGGCGGCTTCTTGAAACAAAGACTGTCCATAATTCATAACTATCTCTGAACATAGAATGCTCTTGTCCCTGGGTGTACTGATGGCATCTTAAGGTGTACACACAACCCATACACACACATACATAAAATAACCATACAATCTGTGTATACATACACATCAAGTACATGTGTGTTGTTATGCACAAGAATGCAGGTTTGCACTACATGTTCACACACACACACACACACACACACACACACAACAGACACTCGTCATTTGCGCAAACAAACGCCCTATGTCATTCCCTCTCATTCCTACTCCTTCAGAATCAAGTTGATGGATCGAATGTCTGTAGGTATTACAACTGACTGATGGACTCAGGATGTTTAAAGCAGCACCTCATAGAATAGGACACTATACTGCAACACTCAGAGGACATCAGCACTGCACACACACACAAAAAAAAAATTAGCTACTGTAATTTTACACACACACACACTTCAATGCAATTATGGCAAAACAGACACCGCTGTGCATTTTAACAATCTTGTCTGCATATGCTGAAAGAATCTGTGCTTTATTGGTATCTGCAAGAGCGGTAGATGTAATAGAGAGTTCTAACATGTTTGGTATGAGCCAGGTTTGTTGGTCTCTTGTCGTTTAAATTCGCTCCTCGGCAGATGAAAGCAGCAGTGGAAATAGAGGATGGGACCCAGCCAGTCTTCTAGCTCTTAAATTCCTTCAAGCTTTTATTATTCTTGTGAGTTGTCGTCTCAGGAGGCAGGTTCTCCAGTTTATGAACCCTCACGTTGCAACCCACGTTGTGGCCCAACCTTTTTTTTTTTTTTTTTTTTCAACAAATGTGTTTGTCAGTTCTTTGTGCACAGGAGAAAAGTCTTAACATGCATCACGGCTAAGAGTATCAGCAGCACATCCAGTCTTCTCCTTTGAAAGATTGTCCATCTGCACTACATTTTTTTTTCTATCCAACACTCAGAGGTGCAGTTTAATCGTTAATGGTCGTCCCACAGTACATGATAGGAGTATGAATCTCATGTAGTTACAGTATTTTACATTCTATTAGGCAGTTTTATTTCTGTATAAAGCTGTTGGGCAGGGAGATTTGTGGTTTGGCCTTGTC